AAACAAATTTTATTACACAACAAGCACTTATAGCTATACAAAAAATATATTTTGGTAATGTACACACGCCAGCACATCAACCTACACATTGACGTATCTTGTTCCGTTGCACTGGAGGCGATTTTCGAACAAAAATGTGTAGTCTGATGTGCCGTTGTCCGTACATTTAATTAAATAAAAAACTTGTTATCAACATAATATGGGACACTATACACATTTAAAACTTAATGTTGTGTTATATTATTTAATACATTATACTGGTAGTACCTATACAATTTGTTCCTTATGTCACCTAATCATTCTATCTAATGTTTGTTGTACTGAAGGTTTATTATGCACATTGAAATTATGCCTTTTGTTATAACAACAAACCTTATCCTTAGAAATTATGTAAAGTCTTACGATACAAAGTAAAAATAAGTTATTTGTTGTTATATTTTCCATTACACACCCAAACTTACCTAGTTACCAAGTTGTTATAGTATAATAGGTGATATTTTGACTACTGAGACTTCGACGAACCCTTATTCATTCTTGATTCTAATAAACGTGTTATATGGAAATAATGGTAAAATTTTGTTGTATCTATGACCTTTTTTGACTACGTATCTTTACCGGCAAAACGTTATCTATTTGGATATAATAGGCCTCATTTAAATACATAATAATATAATGTTATACTTTATTCAAGAAGCGAAACAAAGGACCAACGTACATTAACAGCCTAACGTATTAGCATAGTGACACAAAGAGGGAACGGTGGCAGTATTTTCGGTGCTTCGCGGAAATACAATTTCGTCTGTTTAATATAGAATTAGAGCGATGCGCTGGGCTGGGTGCTCGGTGCGTTGCGTCATCGCAAAGCTATAATTTCGACGTTACGTTGCATTGCGTCGCGTCGTCACAACGTTATGATTCGACGCACCGAGCAAGTGCCACATAAGTAAAGCGGTGTCAGAAATCAGAAATCTGAAACATTTATTGTATGAATTGGTAAAATACGGGTGTTACTTACAAGTGATTAGATCCACAATTCTTACCCAAGTCAGGCGTACAATGTCTTGAAATTACAATTCAATTAAAATTTATAACAACTTAAAGGTAAAAAATAAAATTATAATTAAGTTAATTACACGATTGTCAAATATTTAATGTCTTTATATAAAATTCGTTAAAATTGTAAAAACCTTTTTAATTAACCATTTTTTTAAACAAGCTTTAAATTTATCACCATTTAAACATTTCATTTCCATTGGAAGTCTGTTATAAATTCTGTTCGCTGTTACGTTGGTGATGCGGTCAAAGATCTTGCTTTTTATTCTAGGGAGGACAAGATGGTCCTTTTTTCTGATGTTAACGGAGTGTACATTAGGTTAGGTTTACTAAATAGTAAAGAAGTTACTGTGGTTACATAAAAAAGACATAATGTAAGTAAGCGGCGTTACGTTGCGACACGTTACGCACCGCAACGTTGCTTCGTCTCCTGGTCTCCTGTCTGAAGCGCTCGTGTTCCGCGTCACAGTGTGCGTTACAACGCGCTATGTGTCTTTTAGTTCTAATTTATATGTAGCGCACCACTCAGGCTTCACAACGCCGACGCAACGCTCTTAGTCCTAGTTTTGAGCTGTGAGTTAACGTTAGCTGAGTAGTTCCAAATATATTGTTCCGTTACCCACACGTTTATATTCCAGAGTTTCCTACATATTAATAGAGTTCAATACTCCATTCGTGACCCAGTAGAACGAGAACACGTCCATTGGAGGAACTTGGTAGGAACAATCCAATTGCGCGAAAGTCGAGACAAATGGCCCGATTAGCATCCACACGCCCCCAGAGCGTTTTAACTGGATGCTAAATAAATGATTTGTTGTAGAAATAATTACAAAACGACGCCTATTTGGGCACTTAACGTTTTGTTGCATATTCCAGTTAGTGGTACAATTAGGGAGGGGTCAGGCGGAATGTTAATCAGGGGTTTTGTTTTCCTTTTTTGGATTGATTAATGGCACATTCGACAAACAAAGAAAGACGCTAAAGCGTTATCGTTACGAAGAACCCGTTAGATAGATTGTTGTTAGAATTTTTAGTATTGAAAGTATAATTATTAGAAGCTATTTTAGTATAACAACGAAAATGGAAGTCAATTTTTTTATTTATTTTTTCTAATTTACCTTAATAAACAACAAATGTTTATCTAATAACATCAAAATGTCTCGTCAGCGATAGGAGAAATCCTTTTGATATATTGGCTCGTTAGTCGCACCATCTCTTCGCAGGGAACGGGATTGTTAATCGGACCATTTGTCACGATCGCACTCGGTATTTGCCGTGAAGCAATTCGAATTTCGCGAGCGATTTCGAAAAGGAAATCGCGAATCCTTTCTTGGGCAGTTCATTAGTCTGCTGGTTTAGACGGGCTTCTAAATTTTGTACTCATGGGTTATAAGAAATTCGTTCCAGGTGTTTATAGGAAAGTAGACTACTGTAATAGAGTAGTACTAAGGCTAATTGAATGTTAGTTGCAAAACGAATTAAGTATCCGTCTATGGTGAATGGCGAATAGTTTTCTTTTGGATTGGTCAAAATTTTGCTCAATTTTACATTCAAATTTTATTATTTTTAATTTTTATATTTTTAGACTACATCACATGCGCTGTTCTGATTCAAAAGTAACTATATCACTAGTGTTATGGAAATCGAAAACAACGACAGTTTATTAATATAGAAAAGTTAGTTTTCTACATTGACCCGGCCGAGGATCGAACCCGGGATCTCAAAGACGACACCTTGAAAACCGTTGTGCCACTCGACCACTGAGATTGTCAAATTAAAACACAAAAAAAAACCTTGATTTTCCTACCTCATACTCGTATACTTCGTTTCAAGTATTTACTTTTTTATTAATGAAGAAATAGATGAAAAGGGAAACTAGTTAATTAAAGGACTACGTTTCTCTGGACATCCGTTGGTAGGAATGGTAGCTTCAGCATTTGTAATTACCCACAGTATATATTATTTCAAATTTCTTTATCTCTATTTTGTTGAACATCAAGATAGATAGATAGATAGATAAACCCTTTATTGCTCACACACAAGAACAAGAATAGTACATAAACCACTTAAAACGAATGTGGGGAAAGGCGGTCTTATAACTAAGAGCGATCTCTTCCAGACAACCTTAGAGTTAGAGGAAAGCTAATCGGAGCGGGAGACGTAGTGTGCCAATTATACAAATATAAAAAAATAAAATTGTATAAATTAAAAAAAAAAAAAAACAAAAAAAAAAATAATAAACACACATAGTAATTTATAAAATATTTAAAAAATAATGATATATTATACCTATGTAGATATATGTATATATAAATATACCTAAATAAACTTATACTTACTAATACACATGTTGCAGACTAGGACTGTGATAAAAGATATTTGCGCAATCCGGTCTTGAAAATAGGTAGCGACTTAGAATGTCGGATTTCAAATGGGAGATCGTTCCACAATTTTGCAGCCTTAATCGTAAAGGAATTTTTGATTTTGATCAAGATGTTTTTTATTACCACGACTATTTTTTTTGTGTGAAAATACTCCATTTGTTATATTATTGATACAAAAATCGAACAAAACAAAAAGATACTCCTTCGATTTCTGGAGCAATAGATCTTACTAATTTCGCTGTGCTTGTAGCAGGTCTTTTGTATTGGGTTTAAATGGTTTTTTTGCCGTCAGCGCCACTTGTGAGAAACTTATGAAAGTTTTTATTTATAAATTTGATGTTAATGTACTTCAATAGTTATTTGATATAAATGATACAAAGATCGAACAAACTCATAAAAAACTCGAACTAGCGACATTTTCGCCTAACGCGTGCTATGTGCTATGTGCAGATCTATGTTCGATCTACATTTTGGTTTAAATGGTTTTTTTGCCGAAGCGCCACCTGTGAGAAACTTATGAATATTGTTTTTTATCTTATTTGTAGTGTGTCCACTTTTTAAAGACTCTATACAAATACAAATGGCTTTGGTTGATTCTATATAATAGTGAAAGTGTAGAATCAATCACTTCGGAAAAATACATAGGAAACTTGAGGATATACATTGATTAGTATGCGCTATGAAAACACGATTCCAAAAAATATTGACGATAGAAAAAAACACAAACTTACTTTGAAATTTTACAAAAAAATCTCTATTCAAGACGTACTTTACACATACCAATGATTTATTGAGGTAGTATCGACTCCTTAATGCTTTGCTCCTGGTAATTTTTTTTTACTTTTTTTATATAACACTGCGTGTGTTCTCATAGCCCCGCACTAGGGACACCTTGTATCGCTGGTGCCATGGATACACACATATACGACCACAAAGTACAACCAAACTCACGAGATAAGTAGACGTAGGCCATACAAATATTTCTATCAGAACCTGGGATCTCTGCGTGGCAGAATTGCATAGTAACCGTTCGCACACGGAGGTAGTTTTATTTTGGCTTTACATATATTTGTAATGTGTAGCGCGTAACAATATTGTCACGTATAAAGTCTAAAAGTTCTACGAGTCTAAGTCAAAATCAAATCAAATCACCATCAAAATTATACTTGATACTTCTTCCATCTCTCTACCTCAGCAGTTCGAATCGAATAATGAGCTCACTCAAAACGGTTAGCCATTTTTATACCCTCATTACCCCTATTATTATCGTTATAATTTGAAAATACCCACGATAAAGAAAATGACGCAATATTTGATTGTTAACCCTTATTGTTGTATTAAATTATTTCCATCTGTTAGAAAACATCTAATTAAAGTGTTTTTACTTCCAGATCTAATAGGTCAAAATAATAATAACAAATATAAATTTCTTACGAGATGTAATAGGTTAAAATGAAACAAAACTTGTGTCCAAATTTAATATGACAAGTAGTTGTAAGAAATCCCAAATGTCTGTTTTGAAATTCGAAACACCTTCATAACAATCCACGTCATTTTCAACAGGTCTCCGGCCGGGGTCAAGTGTCAGGGCGGAGTCTCTCGACGTTGTCAAAGTGCCAGCAGTGTCAGGCGGGGATGCGACTCTACCCTGCGATACTCGCTCGCAGCCGTCAGACGTGCTTCTCCTTGTCGTATGGTATAAGGATGACGTGCCTATTTACAGGTTGAGTATCCCATATTTTGTTATTTATGATATTATTGAAACCTGACATATTTTTTTTCCCTCATGTAAAGTGGTAACACCGGTAAATGGGTTCTTAAGTATCGTATAACTGCATTCCCCACTTTTCGATCCGAAACATTCAATTTAAATTTAAATTACTTTACGAAATATGTCATTGTATAATAGAAGAAAGAAAAATACAGATTATTGCTACACAAATATGTTAAGTAGGTTATAGATGACTCAATGACAAATAATTGTGAAGCATACTGCCCTCGCTGATGCTTTGTTTACAGGTCGCAATGATTAAGAAAATTAAACATTATATTTACATACACTTGAGTAAAAACCATAAAAATTAAAACATAATTAAAATTACAACGTAATGAAGTGCAAAACATTTTGTAGTTTCGTGATAAAAAAAGCTTTATAATGGGAAATAATTTTGCAACGGAACACCTCTGTCGGCTCGCAGTCAACAATCTCTTCGAAGTGCACCGTTAGTGAAATGTATAATAAATTAAAAAGTCGCTAATTATCAACATTTTTCGAATCTTTACTATAGATACATAAAACCAGATGAGTAAAAAGAAATTAACTTATTTTTATTTAAATTACCAAAATTTATTTGTTTAATATGCAATATAATAAAAAAATGAAATACAAATTAATAATAAAACAAATATATGAAATGGATTTATCACTCAGCTACTTACCTCTATATCAGCGAAAGCCTGATATTCTGTCACAGTTCGTAATTGTTAAAAACACACTAAAAATTAACCAATTCACAATCAAAATACAACTAAAAATTTTAAAAACCAATACAACCCATAAGGCACAAATTAAAAGAAATGCATGCATGCTTATCGAGTAAGCATTGTGAGCATTTTCGTTTGAAGCTCCCAATAATACCACAGGCGCGTTCTGCACGTACAGGGAACTCTCTTATTAAATTAAAAAAGTAAAACATGTAACATATTTTTCTATTATATTACGTAATGTGATGAAAAAGTCATGAGTGTCATCAAAGTAATAAGACCTTATTAGCGACCCACAACATTCGCGTTGTCAATCAGAGCTTTATATTGCAAAGACCAAATCATCTTTCAAGCACATGTTGTTCAAGCATCTTTTTGACAATATTTAAGATCAAGACTGCATAATATTGTTGCAGGTGCATATAAATCACACAACTATAAATAATATACGTGTATGTTTATTATATATATTAAGTAATATTATTTATTATATTTATTTTACGCCATATAAATAAACTATAAAATGTTGACTTTTTTTTATAAAACCAAGTGATGAACAAGTCGTAAGCCTGGTCGTAAGCGACACGCCTATCTATAACGGTTGCAGTGCTACTCAAAGCTTTTAATGGCAAAGATCTGAGGGGCACTGTCACTGCATTCGTCACCCTGAGACATAAGTCGACAAGTCCCATGTGCCTGTAATTTCGTAATTTCACCAGCATTTTTACCCTCCCAAACCGGATTGTAGTTATGTTCACATTGGCGTTGACAGAGACACAAATTTTTGTCAGTGTGCGATGTATTAATAATATATTTTTTTCGCACGTAATGAGAGTTTATTATAAGGGGCAGATTGAAAGGTATGTTTATTAAAATATCAAAAGAACTTATCTCGTACGAGATCAGCGTCTTTCCGTTAGTAATGGTGGGCGTCTCTCGTATTTTGATTAGATTTAATGATAGTACGAAATGCTACATATAATAGAGTATAAATTATTTATTTCTTTCTGCGCAAGGTAATTGCGACTAACATTAAGAAGAAGAAACATGTTATTATGAGATCAAATTATCTTACAACGTACCTACTTACCTAATAAAACATCAGCAAAATATTTATGTAATAAGGTTATTTTTCAAAGAAGAGATGGAAAAACTAATGATAATACGAATCGTAATCAGCATGAAGTACAACACATAAAAGCTTATGAAATAAGTAGATACATTTTGGAATCAAAATAATATCGTGTAGTTCTTTAAGGGAGAAGACTAAGGAACAACATTTGCATTTGCTTAGTAAATAAAAGCCGAAACGAAAGGAACGTATTTTATGTATTGTAAAGAGATGTTTTTTAAATAAAAACAAATAAAGAACAGAAAAATCAACACTTCAAAGAGATGCCTCGAGGTTTCATAATAACTTTCTTTTTATTCCCTTATTAAAAACCAAACACTATGTTGTTTAAGCTGTCACTGAGAATAAATTGCCATCTGTATTCAAGCACGTACTTTAATTTTTCTAGTTACCTTTTGTAATACCTAAAATGCGTTCGCGTGCAAAGAACGAGTACCCGTAAAGTTTACACTCGTTCTTTTGTATGTTTTGTGATAAGAAAAGAAACAATAAAATCTCTGATCACCTGAAAAGAGAAGCTTATGAATGTGTAAGTCCTTAAGTCTGCACAAACAAATTATGTACGATCAGATGATTATCAGTGAAACCAGGTTTGAAACTACTGGCGGTGGTAAGCGACACGCCTGTCCATAACAGTCGCAGTGCCATTCAAAGCTTTACATCGCAAAGATCTGAAGGGCACTGCCACTGCACGAGTCACCCTGAGACATAAGGGAATCACCACACTTATCGACACGATATCACATTGAGCCGGTGAGAAAAATCTTTCTCTCCGTTAATAAGAGCTAAAAAGTAGTCGCAACGAACGTGGAACGTCTTTTTTGCTCTTATTAAGCAATAAGACGACGACGTCCATGCGGACTAAGTAGCAGTAGAGTTCCTTGTGAAATACCTCGTCCAGTGACGTTGCTTATTTCTTACATAGCAAGTAGCAGTAGAGTTCCTTGTGAAAGACCTCGTCCAGTGACGTTGCTTATTTCTTACATAGCAACAAGGTCGCTTAATGCACATTAAGAGTGAAAGTGTTGATACAATCACTTTGAAAAAAATATATAGTAATCAGTGTATAGGGATATATGAAGTGGTTGTAATACTAACCGAGTCTCACAACCTTTCGTCGTATTTTACGCTCATAAGTAACGTCCGAAGTAAGGGTAGATATAAAAGCAATACGCATTATGGGCAACTAGTCATACAGCACGCACGACACACACGTAAGCAGCGACAAGCATAAGAATGATGTGCAGTTTTGGAAGAAGCTATTTAACGACTGGTGACAGGCGCCACGCGGGCAGTGATGCACTCGCGCCACTCGTTCAACCGCCGGGACCGGTTCTTCGGTGTGACGCAGTTGAGACTATATATATAAAAAGACGGGGCCAGCATGTGTCCGTTTGTGCGTACATTTTTTATTTAATATAAAATGGTACAAATCTATAAAAACAATTAGGAAATATTTATGAAACCGTTTACATGATTTCAGTAGTTCGCTACATATACACTGATTACTACAGGGTGTGAAAATACGATTTCTAAAAAACACAAACTTATCTCGAAATTTTACATTGAAACCGCTATATTCAATAGGTTTACATATACCTACTAATGATTGTTTTATATCAACTGAACTAAATAGAACACGTATATATGTATACTACACGACATACATTTTTCAAATGGATTTAATTTCGTTTGTAAAAAAACTAATACTGAAATCTAGTGTCCCTATTGCTCCAGCCAAGCAAAATGAAGCGTATTAGTACGGGGAAAAATTTCATTCGAGTTGAGGTAGTGAATTACTGTTCTGTGTTGCTACTGTAATTTTATGTGCAATAAAGGAAATTTCATTAATTCATTCATTTAAGAGAACGACTGTAATCAAACTTCAGATCAAAAAGATTCACACTCTAATTTTGGCTTGTAGCAGTTTATAATTTTAATCTTCTATTTTTGTATTTGTATGTATTTTGTTTATGCAGCCGTTGAAAAATCTGTAGTAATTCATTCATTTATTCACACATCTCATGAAGTCAACGCGGCTATATCAGCAAAGATTCATGACTGGATCGCAAGCTGACAATGCGTGCATATTTTATAAATTGCTCAGCCCACATTTGTTATGCATGACGGATCCTTATAAGTGACATGGCCATGCTTACACGCTTGTTTCAGATTTTTCCTTCATTCATGCTGTGCGCGGCAGTGGCAGTCTTATTAATCGTTGAAGAAATATTTGAAAAAAAATTCAATAAAATTATCAAGGTCTTATTTTTTATTTTTCTTTTATTATGTGGGAAACAAACAGTTTACAATTTATATACAAGATTGTAGTACAAAAAAAGTTTTCACTTGAACTAGCAAAGTTTCCACTAGTAAATATAACCTAAAAAAATAACGAAAAAATTACTTCCCATTTTTTTAGCACAAAGAAAGTAAGTAATGAAAAATAAACAAAAAGAAATAAACTAAAAAACAAATGACATAAGTTATTGTTCATGAAATATATTTACATCTAAATGATTCTTGTACGCATTACAAGCTACAAACAAGAAAGCGTTTAAATCCGGAAAAATTGTTTCATTTCCGAAGAAAGCGTTACTTAAATATTTAGTTTTACAAGCAGGCCCACAAAAGACACTTTTCAAATGAGAATTCTTTTCTTATAATATATATATATATAATATATATTCTTATAATTATTGATACAAAGATCGAAACAACACAAATAAAAAATTCTTCGATCTGATTGGATTCGAACCATCGTCTGTTGCTATCGGGGCTACAGCTTTTGCCAACTGAGCTACAGACATGATGTAACCGCTCACGCGATACATGCAGCTGTAGACGCATACCACACCTAGAGGTGCCGGTGATGATTTTATACCGATTTATCGGATATCGAAGTTACAACAGGTAAAAGAATTAATATTAATTGCTATTTCGGTAACTACTCTAGCAAACCATAAAGTTTTTAATGCCTGGGTCTGTCATTTAAAAAAATAAACAACTTCAAAAATACGTCACGACAATCGTGTGTGTTATTGTTTGTGCTGGTGATTTCGGTGTTTATTTATTGAAAATATACCGTAAGTAGCGTTTTTTAAGTT